ATGAGGAGAAAGACAATAGAATTAGAGAAAACAAATAGGAAAAGAACATTCCATCAGCGAAAATCTCTCTCTCTCTCTCTCTCTCTCTCTCTCTCTTTTGGGGCGCTCATATATTGATCTTTGCAAATAAAGACAGGTCGCAAATCTAAGTTTATTTTTGTCTTTTGGAAAATGAAATTGGATCTAGGGATGAATGTACTTCTTATATCCTTGTTCTGGATTCCCATTTGACAGGCATGGCTGAGTCAAAGGAATTTGCCGGGGAGATATTTGTTGCTTTGGCAAGGAGGAGGAACTTGGAACCAGAAAACGGTATAACCAAATCTGAACTGAAGGAGTTTTGGGAAGAAATGACGGACCAAAATTTTGATTCTCGACTCCAGATTTTTTTCGAAATGTAACCAGTCTCTCGACTCTTATCTGCTTTCCACACCGACCCTCATGAACTTGTTCATAATATGTTGTTTCATGTTATCAAAAATAGGTGTGACAAGAATGGTGATGGAAAGCTCTCAGAAGATGAGGTGAAGGAGGTAACTAGTCTAAATCTTTCAATTAATTCTCAATTATCCTTACATTCTGTCTGGAATGCTCTTATTTTCATAAAATGTGGATAGTGAGTAACCCCGGGATTATCGTACTCGATAGATTATCATTCTGAGTGCCGCAGCAAACAAGCTTGCGAAGTTGAAAGCACATGCGGCCACCTATGCTGCTCTCATAATGGAGGAGCTTGACCCAGACGGTCTGGGTTACATTGAGGTGAATTTTTCAGAGAAATGTGATAAGCTGGACAAATTTCTTGAGTCAAGACTTACAGCTTACGTTCTCTGTTCCAGCTTTGGCAGCTTGAGACATTACTTCAAGGGATGGTTAGCTCAGACGGAGCCGAGTTAACAAAAAGTTCGCAGAGCCTTGCGAGAACAATGATACCGCTGAAATACAGAAACCCAGTCACCAGATTTTTCAGCATGACCACAGATTTTGTTCATGAGAACTGGAAGAGGATATGGTTCATTTCCTTTTGGTTAACAGTCAATCTAGTCCTAGCTGGATGGAAATTTCTCCAGTACGAAAGGAGAGCAGCATTCGAAGTGATGGGCTACTGTGTCTGCATGGCCAAGGCTGCAGCTGAGACCCTCAAATTGAACATGGCTCTAATTCTCATCCCTGTTTGTCGCAACACCCTCACGGGGCTCAGATCAACCCGTCTCAGTTCAATAATCCCATTTGATGACAACATCAACTTCCACAAGGTGAGCAAGCTTTTCCGATGGTAAGCATACCATGAAAATTTTCTTTTCTAAGTGCCCGTTTATGTTTTCTTTCACACGTATCAACATTTGCAGACCATCGCGCTGGCAATAACAATCGGAACTTTAGTGCACACAATTGCTCATGTAACATGTGATTTTCCAAGGTTGATAACATGTCCTAGTCCGACATTCATGAGAACACTGGGACCTAATTTCAACTACAAGCAACCCACTTATGCATCTCTAGTGGCAAGTGCCCCCGGGGCCACCGGGATCCTCATGATCATCATCATGGCATTTTCTTTCACACTGGCAACACATTCGTTTAGGAGGAATGTCGTCAAGCTGCCATCGCCCCTCCACCATTTATCTGGTTTCAACGCATTTTGGTATGCCCACCATCTTCTGGCTGTCGTGTACGTCCTTCTGATAGTACACTCATACTTCCTTTTCCTCACCAAGGAATGGTACAAGAAGACAGTAAGTCCTGCTCTTTATTCGACATATAGCAATCTCTAAGTAATGATTTTCATGATATGTTTTGGCACAGCGATAGTTTAACTTTATGTGCACAGACATGGATGTATCTTACGATTCCAATCATCTTTTATACCTGTGAGAGATTAATTCGGAGGGTTCGTGAGAAAAGGTTTCATGTGAGCATCATCAAGGTAAGCTACTCATGAGTATATGCAACTTCGAGATGCGGAATTTTATCCATGCACCAGCCGATCAACAGAAGTGCAAATACAAATGATTTCAGCTTTCCCATGTATCATGCAGGCAGCAATATATCCAGGTAATGTCCTTTCGTTACATATGAAGAAACCAGCAGGTTTCAAATACAAAAGTGGAATGTACCTTTTCGTCAAATGCCCGGATGTGTCACCCTTCGAATGGTAAGTGTCGAGCTTCACATCGTGCATGACCAAGAAATGACTTCCTGTACTCAAGCTTGTATTTTTTGGTGACAGGCATCCGTTCTCAATCACTTCTGCACCAGGAGATGATTATGTGAGTGTTCACATCCGGACGCTAGGGGACTGGACGTCTGAGCTTAGGAATCTGTTTGGAAAGGTTATTTTAAGAATAAAATGGTTTTTGTCACCAAAGAGAACTATGTTAGAATTTCGCCGGAATTATCGAGCAGAAATCTCTTGCTACAGGTCTGCCAGTCTCAGGTCACTTTGAAGAAGGCTAATCTAAAGAGACTTGAAACCACAGTTGTGGCAGATGTTCAATTTGAAGATACAAGGTGATCAAAACTCTGTATTAATCGAATCCTGTTAACAATTAACTCTGCACAAAAGTTTTAAATGCATCAAGATCCACTGAGTGACATAACTATTTTTCAGATTTCCAGAGGTCTTCATCGATGGACCATATGGTGCACCAGCTCAAAATTACAAGAAATACGACATTCTTTTGCTCATCGGGCTAGGAATTGGTGCAACTCCATTTATAAGTATACTGAAGGATCTCCTGAACAATATAAAGACCAATGAGGTAAATTGTATTCAAAATTATTAGCATAATTTCATTTTTAAGGAACCATTGACAGGCTCAAATCTCATGCAGGAAATGCAAAGAATACATAATGCAGATGCATCTGACACAAATGCAGATGCAAGTAACACCAAAGGAAATGGTCCAGGAAGGGCCTACTTCTATTGGGTGACAAGGGAACAAGGATCCTTTGAATGGTTCAAAAGTGTCATGAATGATGTTGCTGAGAGAGACTACAATGTACTTCCTTAAATTTATTGCTTCCTTGAAACTTGACTCGATTTCCATTTTGCATAGTACTATAACTGATCGACAATGATTGGATATGCAGAATGTCATAGAGATGCACAACTACTTGACAAGTGTGTATGAAGAAGGCGATGCAAGGTCAGCCCTTATCGCAATGGTTCAGTCACTTCAACATGCCAAAAACGGTGTTGATATCGTATCTGGAAGTCGGGTAACTGACCTTCATCCTATAGTAAGATATGAGAACATGACTTGCTCTTTTCTAGTTTCTAACTCATGCATGACAGATACGCACACACTTTGCAAGGCCAAACTGGAGGAAAGTGTTTACCGACTTGTCCAACACCCATAAAGCTGCTCGAATTGGTGAACTATTTTCGAACTTTTAGTATCTCTATCTACCTCTTCAATGTCTAGATTCCTTAACTTGTGGAATTGCAGGTGTTTTCTACTGTGGACCTCCCACACTCACAAAATCACTGAAGGATCTTTCACAAGAATTCAGCCATGACACCAGCACTCGATTCCATTTCCACAAGGAGAACTTCTAGAGAAGAGACAAGATAATGTTGGTAGCCAAAACATGGTCGTATAGGAAAAGTTTTCGGGAACCATTAGAAAAGTCTTGTACAGAAATTCCAGTGTTGATAGGATGAAATGTTACAACATACACGAGAGAAAAAGATTTAGAACAGGTGTGAAGTAGCGAGAAATGAATGATTCCTTCATCATTTCTGACTGTCCGGAAACGATTCAAGAACTGAGATATCTATTCCATCAGCAGAATCATGAAGAAAAAAAATCTTTCTTGCCTTGGGCTTTTTTGCTCTGGCATTTGGCTATTTCGCTTCGCCATTTTTCTATATATATTATAAAGCTCGTCGTGCAATTGCTTCCTTATTTAGATCATTTGGTGATGATTTTTTTTGAAATTTTTGGTTAAATTTCAAAAGGCCTGACCGCAATAGATCCAAAACCATACTAATATTCTCCATTTCCTGAGTAGATTTCTTTTTGGCCGATACCATTTCCTGAGCAGGTATTAGAACCGTCCGTAGTTATTGGGCATATTTATAGCCTGCTGTTATGGAAGACTCGAGTCGCAAGCTTGTGTGCAGTGTAAGAACACCTTTATGGTAGTAGTACTATGTTTGTTTGTTTTCATTTTTATTTTTATTTTTTGCTGACAGAAAAGTATTTCCAACGAATTTTTGATCGACCCTATGATATGATTCACTTGTTTCAGATGCTTGGAGCAAACTCCCAGTGTGCTTTTGCATCCTTCTCACACTCTTTACTTGAATGTAAACTCTCAGGCTCACACCTTGACGAGGTGTCCATATCTCGTTGGTGGATCAGAAACGTGAAGTAATTCCTCCGGTTCATGCCACTCGAGATCTTCGAAGCTCACTCTCCATCAATTCGATTCACCATCTTTGCAGTATAATGCCGATCTATGAACAACACCTCTGGACTTTCGCTCTTCCAGCCACTCGCTACAACAGCATCTAGGAGACGAAGATAGCAATGGACTCCAACAGCAGCAGGTTCTCCGGCCACCTGGGTTGCATGCAACAAGCTCCGTTTCTTGGTAATTGCAATTCTTTTCCATTATGATTTGCAATCGATCGATGAGCCATAACAGATCAGGTCATCAACATGGTTGCAATGGAACAGTAAGAGAGGGAGTGTGAAGAATAATGCTGAGAAGAGCATAACAAAGAAACATAAAACAAATACAAGTTGTGGAGGAGTGTCTGTCAGCTACTCGTGGTATCAGAATGTGGCCGGTCAAAGAATTTTAATGGTCATGAAGGCTCAACAGGTAGCCTTTACTCCATTGCAGTCTAATGGAGTTGCCAAGGCGTTCCTTCTGCACCCTCTTCTCTCTGTTCGACGCTGTAGAAGCACTTTAAAATCCAGTTGATTAACTGAGAGTCAAAGGATGCATGATCTGTGATGTCTACGTGCGACAACGACTCAGAAAAGAAATCTACGATTGCAATCATATATACTCTCTCTCTCTCTCTCTCTCTTCTTCCCTCCTGACTTGAGAAAGAATTTGGATCACCTTCTCCTTCATCCCTATCGTGCAAGCGAGTCTCCGAGTCCAGGATGGAACGATTGATTCCTGCACAATTCCTTTTGACTGTCGACAAGTATAAGCTGCAAGTTTTCGTTATGCATCAAACATGAATCTGGTGATTGCCCCCTTCTTTTAAGTCGGCTATTTCATCTTCGCTCTTTGGCACACGCGAACTTCATCTTCTCACAACGAATGAAGAGCGGTCCGAGTGTTGCCATTTCATTATAGAAATCCATGGAGCAAGTTCAAAATTGATCGACGTTTCAAGAGAAAAAAAGCACGATCAAACGACTTGTATATTTCCATGGGAACGACTCCCGGAAGGACGAGAAGCAGGAGGATGGAGACAGGTCACAAGATGACGGTCAAAACGCTGGAATTCCATGGGCTCCACGCGAAGACGCAAGGCTGAAACATGGTCGACAGAAGGGCCAGTGTCCTCCCAAAACACGTACATGATACTGTTTCCTTTTGAACGAGATGGAGAGATCTTACTTGGAATGTCGTACCAAATGATATCAATAACATGCAGCAATGGCAGGCCACAAGAGAGAGAGAGAGAGAGAGGTGGCGTATGAGAAAGGAGAATGAGATGATTGCAGGCATGATGAACGACAGGTCACATCACCACCTTGTATCCTCTACATCCTTCGCTTCTGGTTGCCAACTATACCGTGCTGCATCAAAGCATTTCCGTTTTGATGAGGCATTAGTAGGGTGATCGGGAGGGAATCATAATCACGTCTTGTATGGTTCATCACCCATATCGAAAGAGAGGGAATCATGATCACGTCCTATATGGTTGGTTCATCACCCATATCGAAAGAGAGGGAGATACACAAGTCCTCACTCTCGGCATCACCTTTTCTTTACGTACATTTCCTCTTTTCTGCGCTTCAGATGGCTCTCATTACGATCGAACTGAAAAAGTTGGGGCAATGAAGGAGCATCTTAAGTTCCGCATTCAATACCGCATTAAGATCCACCCTGTGTTGGCAAGACAAGCTGTCGATCAGTAAGTAACACACATCATGTGGTTTCTCTCTCTATGGATTCGACCGGCAACACCCAGAAGAAACTTGGAGAAAAGATGCTGGTTGCAGGCATTCGATCTGATCCCCCCACGATGGATGTAGACTTTACATCCACGTCCATTAATTTATTATTGGTTTTCCTCACCACCAGCTTTTAATTCTCTGTACGACTATCGCCACTTAATTTCTCCACTGTTCCTCGAAACGCCATCCAGTGATTCCTTGTACGTCTTTTGACATCGCGCCCATGATTCCTCAAAACCCCGTGACCTTTTTCTCTTCTTGGACCGGTGGTCGACGATGGCGCTGATAGACGGAGGAAACGCGCGACATACGTTTCTCGGATTTCAATTGTGTCACCCACTGTCTCTTAGGGTTTAATTAGTTCCTTCTTATGCCGACGGAAACACTCGCGAGGTTTTATATATAAATATATATGTATATATATATATATATATGTATATATATATATATATGTATATATATATATATGTATATATATATATATATGTATATATATATATATATGTGCATAGAATGCCGTGCCATGATGCCACCGTAACAATGCAAGAGAGAACCGAAGAAAGGAGAGAGAGAGAGAACAAGAGAAGATTGGTGGTGAACAAGGAACGAGCAGGTCTCGTGCACCTAAATGAATGCCTCTCTGGGAACAACTGCATGACAGAATTCACCTTTATTTCCCCTTCTCCACCGATACTGTTCCTCTTAATGTCTCCTTCCGTCGTCCCTCATCCCTTTTGTCGCGTGTCACTGCTTCCTTCCTTCCTCTCCTTCAAATGCACCTACTTCTCTGGCTACACCCCCTATGTGTGCATATAAATGACTCATTCCTAGGGTCGGCCCGCGAGACAAAAGAGAGGCGCAGTGTGGCTAGGTGAAGTGCGCGGGGAGGGGGGGGGGTGGGGGGGAGCCGTAGAGATGTCACAGACTAATTCGACGACGAGGTGGTGCCCGACGCCAGAGCAGCTGATGATACTGGAGGAGATGTATGCGAGCGGCGTCAGGAACCCTAATGCCTCCCAGATACAGCAGATAACCGCTCATCTCTCTTTCTATGGGAAGATAGAGGGCAAGAATGTTTTCTACTGGTTCCAGAACCACAAGGCTAGGGATCGGCAGAAGCTTCGCCACAAGAACCTCCCCCACCCGTCGGAGGAGGCTTCTCCTCCCACTTCCGTTCACCATGAGAACCCATCAAGCTTCTTGACTCAGGTCCTCGTTTCTTCTTCGTACGTGTTAGTTCCTCTCATCATTGCCAATCGTGAGCACTGTCATCGCATTGGTACTAATATTTTATGACTCTCTCTCCCTTGTAATTCTTTTTCTAGGGTTTTGCATCATATGCTTGACTATATTCATGCATGATTGCTCCTTCCGTATGCTTCGTATGAACTTGCATGATTCTTACACGTTAAGCTCCCACAACACGTAGAGAGGAAAAAGGAAGAAAGCGCAAGAACTAATGCTTCGCGTCCTTCCTGATGATGCTCTTTGATTATAGGGCTGTTTCCAAGATGCAACGACCCAAGAAATGAATCTGGTGGGGAAACTAGAGAGTGCTGCTGGTGAACGCCAAGAAGCAGCTGTGACAGCATCAAGTTCCATGGAAGGTGATCATCCACAGTGGGCTGACGTCGGTCTCACCGTCTCTTCGTGTTTCAAGCCTCTCAAAACCCTCGATCTCTTCCCCACCAAACACGAGTGCAGCAGCAGCTCTTCCAAGTCCTCCTCGCGTTCCAAGTCCACCCATTAAGTGCAGCAGCTCGCAGTGGTGCATTTGTAGCTTCGTCTTCTTTCTGTGTGCTTCATATATTATGTGACCATGTCTAATTCCCACTTCACCTACTTCTGATGCTGCCATGAATACTGTTGCCTGGTTTGTGTAACTTGAACATCGCACTTCTCTACATGTCTAGCCTTTGTTAGAGTTGTGAATCCTTTCTCGATTGCTTACCTTTTCTAAAATTGATCATCATACAAATAATAATGTTCAAATCATGTATCTCTCTCTCTCTCTCTGTCCGTATAACATTCATTGTATACCTTAAGATGATGATCATACGCAAAAACATCACATAAAATATATTGGTCTTCGAATCGAACAAAGTAATTTAATTTAGAATATTTTAGCTATATATCTTTTTCTTGTTCCTTCGTCTGAAATCACAATTTACGTACGTTCTAGTCATAGTTAGTACACATTTGTTTACACGGTTGACCGACATATACATTATACATATTAAGCACAGATTATCATAGAGATAGTCATCCAATATTCTATACATAAATGACCTATTTAGCCATAATTTTACATTTGTTACATAACTCGTGCTTTATACACGATTGACAAAGAATCTATATGTACATTGCGAAATAAGTTGGAAACTTTATACATAGTTGGTGGAGATTTTGCACATAAGTGGCATTAATTCTACAAATAAAAAAGTTTCATACCAAGTATCTGACATTTTGTACATAATTTGCTATGTTAAAATGCTATACATATATTAATGGAATCGTATACGTAATTAACATGGATTTTGTACGTAGTTAAGGTGACAATGTATTATTTTTTGCCGCATACGTAGCACTCAGTGTACGAGCCCGCAGGTCACAATAACTTTTGCTCCCTGTGGAAGACATACACACACCATCTCACCGTTATGATGACACGGTTGACCCAAGTCATGTCCATCTCGACCGTTCATCCACGAACTCATCTATTCGTATCGTCGACATGTTCCATTGCGGATACGACCTTGCGACTTCTTATCCAGACTCGGGCGGCCGGCCGGCTAGGGTTTCCTTCTCTGCCTCCCCCCCTCAGTTCTCACAGGTTGCTTGATTCCTTCTTATTTCCCGATCGAAGACTTTTAATTTGTTTCGTTTCCATTCTGCCCCTTGATGGCATGACAAAATTTTCTTTTGCATCTTGTGTTGTTAAAGTTGTATCTTCGCTCTGAGATCTCTCTGTTTCGGTCGTGTTGTTGGGTTTGATTCGAAGTATTCGGGTGTTGAGGCTTCGTCGTGATCTGATTATTACGGTCGATCTGTTGTCTTCTTGTCGTTGTAGAGATAGCCCTTGAGACATGGTAAAGATTGGTTCTTGATTCTTTCGATCTTTGATCATAGTGTTGCGGGATGTGTAGATCCCTAAAAAAGGGTTTTTTTTTCCTTTTGCTTCTGAAGAACTTGGTGGTACCTTTTCAAGTTTCTAAATATCCTGCAATTGTCACTCAAAACCCTAGCCTTCCTTATTTTTTTTTCCACTTTCTTTGGTGCGAGAGTGTTGATTTGAAGCGTGAACATCATCAGATCTCTATCTTCTTCTGCAGCAAATATATGTTTTGTGCGATAGAATTTAGTAGGCCGTAATATGAGGTTAAAGCTAGTTTGTCAATTGTATGAGAAGTTTCGACAATTTAATATTAATGGCAAGCGCACTGCAGATTTTTAGAGTTCTTAACGTTGCATTATTCTGTCTCATGGCTGAAGCAATATGAATATCCACATCATGATTCTTTCATCAATTTTTATTATTTTCTAGACTTCTAGTATTTGTTCATATTTTGAAGAAAAGAAGAAATAGAACCAATAGCTCAAATTCGTCTTGATTCACCCTAGATTATGACCCTCTTAATAGTTTCTTTATCTTTCTTTGCATGAAAATTAATGTCCTTGCTCTTGATTATATGACTTATCTATATACATGTACAAGTGAGACATGATAAATGTGCATTACAATGGAGAGGAGGTTTATGAAATATTTTTTTCTTTCATGCATTTGTACAATGTAAGTCAAATTACTTCAGATGTACATAAGCTAAGTATAATTTTTTATGTAGCTATTCTGAGGTGCAGACCATCCGAACCCACCAGTTTAACTCCCTTTTATTTTTTGTTGTTCGTAAAAATTTTTGTACGGTTCATGCATTGTGATTAGAGAAAAGATAAAACAATGTACTTTTAGATTGACCTTTAAAATGATATAGTTGAGTCAGCGCCATGAAATTCTTGTGCATGGTTACACCTTCATCTGTCTTGTTTCATATAAGACAAATTAAACAAGTTATTGCTAATTTTGGTTCTCTTTTTTATTTTATTGGTGCCTATTCAATCACCTGATTGTGCAAATGCTGCTGTAGCTTTTCTGGTACTTGCAGAAGACTTACAGCACCAAGAATGCCTCGCTATGACGATCGGTACGGCGGCACACGCCTATATGTTGGTCACCTATCTTCTCGTACTCGTTCACGTGATCTTGAAGACCTTTTCAGCAGATATGGCAGGTACCATAGTCGCTATCACATCTGCTTTGTTCTTTTCGTCAGGATCTGATTCTAGTGATGAGAATAATTCCTGTAGTTTTGTAGGATCAAACTTTTTTTTTTTAAATCTCTGTTGTATGATTTTTGTTGTGTGTAAAATAAGGCAGTTTTACTGGCTTGCGATTTATATAATTCTTTGTGTTTTTATGGTTAGTTTTTTAACGCACTGTGGCATTCATGGTTCGATGCTGTCTTTGTTTCCAAGCTATAATTTACTTGCACTATTTTACTAGATATAGGATGCTGACCATCTGGCTTTATTGTGATGGTAGCTATTCCATATTCTTTCTTCTTTTACATTTGGCTTTTGCAAGAAGTCTCATAGTCGTGGTAAATTGCCAAGGTGTTGGAGGTGCCATACTTTCCAGAGCCAGTATGTTGTTCTGAGTTTTTTGCCGTTTATTCTTATATATAATTATGTTGTGAGAAGGTTAAGTCAAAGTGAGTGTGTTTTAACTTGAATGATCTTGTTGAAGGTTGTTGGGTTTTTGCCCAGCCGGGAGGTCTGTGGTGAGAGGGTGCCCTCAGTGGAATTGGTGGCTAGTCTTGCAAACTTAATGAGAGTTTGGCGATTCTTTTGTAGTCTTATTGCGTGTGACAAAGTGGTGTTTTATTCTTCTGAGGTGCGAATTATCATATGGTCTGCTACTTGAGTTCTGATGGCCTTATTCTTTCTGGCAACCATTTCCGCAGAGTACGAGATGTGGACATGAAACATGACTATGCTTTCGTTGTATGTCAACTTCTACTCTTTATGCAATCTCTATTCTTTCTTTCCTTGTTGTTTTGGGATGCCAGTGAGCAGTCATTTTATATTTGTTTTTGATATCTTTCTTACATCTGGCTTGGTCTCCCTGTTCCATATATTCGGTTTGCCTAACATTTTCAGGAATTTAGCGACCCCCGAGATGCAGATGATGCTAGATACAGCTTGAATGGGCGAGAATTTGATGGAAGCCGTATTATAGTGGAATTTGCAAAGGGGGTATGTGATTTAACTACAAAGTCGACACATTAATTTACTTGTTTATTTCTTGTTCCTTCCTACTTGAACTTTGTATTCCTTTAGGTTCCACGTGGTTCTGGTGGTTCACGTGAGTATCCTGGAAGAGGCCCTCCACCTGGTTCTGGCAGGTGCTTTAACTGTGGCATAGATGGCCATTGGGCTCGAGACTGCAAAGCTGGTGATTGGAAGAACAAGTGTTATCGCTGTGGAGAAAGAGGCCATATAGAAAGAAACTGCCATAACAGTCCTAAAAATCTCAAGTAGGATTTCCTTTGATTTTTTCCGTTTTGGTAATTATTTCTTGGGCAATGGCTTCTCCAGCATTCTGGGTATAGCTCATTTGGAGATCATACTGGTGTTTTATGCAGGCCTGGGAGAAGTTATTCACGATCTCCATCCCCTCGCCGTGGTAGGAGCCGAAGCTACAGCAGAAGCCGTAGTTATAGGTAAGCAAACATATTAACATCCGTTTAGATTTTTTTAAAATTTTAGTTTGTTGCATCTATAACTCTACATACATGTATGTAGAAATGCATTTTCAGAGAGCTAAATTGGTATGTAATTGTGTGATGCGACTCTGTGGGTAAATGATGGTATATTATGGCCTTGGTGTAAACGAAATGTTTTCATTTACTGGAGAGGTCTTCTGAAGGCAGCGCAACTATCTTTTACAGTTTTTTTTTTTGGCTTGATACTTGTTTTGCTTTTTGGTTGTTTTACTGTTAATATTTCCCTAACCGTTGACAACTCGTACAGAAATCATCACATTGCCATCCCACCATACACACACGAGATGGATGTAGCTGTTTTTCGGTTTCTGTTTAATCTTATTTTTGGTTCACTAATTTGTACATTATGGAGGTATAGAATTATTGTTAGCGACTTGAGTGGTATCAACCATGCAATATTTGACCATATAGTACCCAGGAAAAAATGTGTTGTGAAGGACAAGGGTCTTTTTAACTTCAGTAATCATGCAGTTGTAAAGATGTCTGTAACCTTGATGTTTTCCTCACCAGCCGATCAAGGTCTCCTGCTCCAAGAAGAGATGGACGAAACAGAGATCGCGGGGACAGAAGGTCCAGAAGCCCTGGATACGACAGGAGCCCGAGGTCAAGGAGCCCACCTCCATCCAAGGGGAGGAAGCACAGCCTTTCACCTGACGGTAGCAAGAGCCCGCGTGGGTCTCGGAGCCCCTCGCCTGAGGAGCGTAGGGATGTTGAGCACAATGGATCGGACTACAACAGGAGCCCTGTGAGGGAGAACAGCAGGAGCACAATGAGCCAGGATCGTGAAAACTCGCCGGTGGGTGATAGATATCGGAGTCCTGAGCCAAATGGGAGGAGCCCTAGTCCCAAAGACGACGGAGATGATGATCACCATGCTTCTCCCAGTGGTAGGGAGTCGCAAGACTGATCACAGCATTTAGTAGCGCAGCAGAACTGTGCTAGTAATTATTTCCATAACCAAGAAAAGCTTTGGTGAACCGTTGTCAATGTTGGGGACAATTTTTGTTGACTTCTGAACGTTAAATTTTGTGGTCTGTCTCTACCAATTTGCTGTGTGTTTCTTGTGACCGTGTGAATGTGTAGTTTAACTCGATCTCGTCTACTTATCATCTGTTCAAGAGAGGAATGGCGGAAAAGATGTTGGAATCTGGAAAAGGTTAGTCACGAGGCATATTGCGCTGTGTGTCCTCTTCAGGCTTGTTAATTTCAGACTCTATCATGATCATATTCTTTTGTGATGGAATGCCAAAGTATTGTCGTCGTCCTCACTCCACCCTAACAGAGAGCACCATGCATAATCCAAGGATAAAATAAATTGTTGTTATTCTACTTATTGTGCAAATTGGAAAGATTGCAGGGTCTTTCATATATATATATATATATATATATATATATATATATATATAGGATTAGAGCAGTGCGTGCGACAGGAGGAGGTTGGGCCAATATGGCCCAAACTATGCCCAATTGTCTCTGGGCCGACCGAGATTCAATTAACATAGATGCGAGACATACCCCCCTCGTTTCTTTGCCATTTCTTCGGGTCTTTGGCGTCTCCCCTGACTCTTTCTCCTCCGATCGCCTCGGGCTCCTTCGTCCACGAAGGTTAAATCCCGATCTCGTAGATCTGTTTCTTTCTTCGATCGGTTGTTTGGTGCTTTTCTTGTCTCTTCGCCTGGCCTTTTGTTGACCAAAATCGAGGGTTTGCGGTTTGCTGGTCTGAATCTGGTGATGTCGACCCCGATCGGTGCTTCCCAGTCGATCTAACTAGTCTACTGCTGTCTTTCTTTGAAAAAGACAGATTTTTGAATTACTTTTGAGCTGGACCTGAAGAGTGATCAGATCTAGATACTGCACGCTATGATTCATGTATATTTTTGGAGTTGGTTTTCGCTCCTCTGTTTGTGGTTTCTTTCAAACACGTTTCGTGTGTTTATGCAAAGAAATGTGTTCAATATCAGCTTTTGTTTACTTATTGTTGGATCTGACCTCTTTATTGCGTCTTTTTATGCTGGAGGAGGAACTTCATCGCTAGTTTAGTCGGAAATGTGAACTGGTTTCTTGTTCTGCCTTTTCTTTCTTCTTTTATCCTTAATAACCAGCCAAAATAGCGAAGCAACTAAGGACAGTGTTATGTTTATTTCCGATGTTGGATTAAGACACTCTTTTGCGAACCGAGTAAAAAAGGTTTGGTCATTTTATTTCATATTTACTAATTTGTAATTATACATTATAAATTATTTGTCTCGCTAATCAATTAAATGTAGATACATGCCAGATTTAAATATAGAGTTTCGATCATGTCTTCTCATCATGGGTTTGTGTATATGGTCAAGCCTCTGTAAAGGGGGGGGCAAAGCATAAACTGGCTGCTCTTCTTGCAAGATTGCTTCATCTTTTGTTGGAGAACCAACATTAGATCCCTCTTCTTTATGGATGATGGGATAGAACTAGCAGGTTAATTTAACCTATCTGTGTTTTTGTGCTTAATTACTGCATATGAAGTTTTCAATCATTCTTACTTTTAGATATATTATATAGATACATGGTTATAGACAAAATGTTTTCAACAGCATTGATGATTTAAATCATTTCTACTTCTTAATTTTATTTTTGTGTATAATTCCTTGCTAGTGCTATTTATCATTATTATACATGTACTGATTACCAGTGGCACAACCCACATAATCGAAAAAAAATTATGTGTAAATGGAGAGTTTCCTCTCTTTGGTTCATTTGTCCTTTATAAATACATTTTTAAGTCGACGGTCAGTGCATGGGCTAAAATTTATGTAGCTGGTAGTATTGCTGATATCTTCACCCGTATTACTTGTTCAGATTTATAGAAAATGGCCGATGAGGATATCCAACCTCTTGTTTGTGACAATGGAACTGGCATGGTCAAGGTTAGTCAGTTTGGCATAGCCATTCTCATTCTTTGAAGTGTGCTTTTGTGCATCAATTCTGGGCACAATCTCCAAATTGATTCATTCTTCTTTTGTCTTTGTCAAACAGGCCGGATTTGCTGGTGATGATGCACCCAGAGCAGTGTTTCCCAGTATTGTTGGCAGACCTCGCCACACTGGTGTTATGGTTGGGATGGGCCAAAAAGATGCTTATGTTGGTGATGAGGCCCAGTCCAAACGAGGTATCCTCACGTTGAAGTATCCAATCGAGCATGGAATTGTCAGCAACTGGGATGACATGGAAAAGATTTGGCATCATACCTTCTATAATGAGCTCCGTGTAGCTCCTGAAGAGCATCCGATACTTCTGACTGAAGCTCCTCTGAATCCCAAGGCAAATAGAGAGAAAATGACCCAAATCATGTTTGAAACTTTTAATGTGCCTGCAATGTATGTTGCAATTCAGGCAGTCCTTTCCCTCTATGCTAGTGGCCGTACCACTGGTTTGTATCAATCTGTCTGTTTGAGTAGGGAGAAACTAAAAAAAATTTCATCCATTTGATTGGGCTATCATTTGACAGGTATTGTGCTCGACTCTGGTGATGGCGTCAGTCATACTGTTCCGATTTATGAAGGATATGCACTACCTCATGCCATTCTCCGTTTGGATCTTGCTGGTCGTGATCTCACAGATGCCCTCATGAAGATCCTTACCGAGAGAGGTTATTCATTCACCACAACTGCAGAACGGGAAATTGTGAGGGACATAAAGGAGAAGCTTGCATATGTTGCTCTCGATTATGAACAGGAGCTGGAGACTGCCAAGACTAGCTCTTCTGTGGAGAAGAGCTATGAACTCCCGGATGGGCAGGTCATTACTATTGGTGCTGAGAGATTTAGGTGCCCAGAGGTCCTCTTCCAGCCATCATTGATTGGCATGGAAGCTTCTGGAATCCATGAGACCACATATAACTCGATTATGAAATGTGATGTCGATATCAGGAAAGATTTGTATGGGAACATTGTGCTCAGTGGTGGATCAACCATGTTCCCTGGTATTGGCGATCGTATGAGCAAGGAGATTACTGCTCTTGCACCAAGCAGCATGAAGATTAAGGTGGTTGCCCCACCTGAACGTAAATATAGTGTCTGGATCGGAGGATCCATCCTTGCCTCTCTTAGCACTTTCCAACAGGTACATCCAAATTCTGACCCACTGCTATTAGATTTTAACAGTTGTATTTGCGACGCATGTTTTTGACGCACTCCAAAATTGCAGATGTGGATTTCAAAGGGAGAGTATGAGGAGTCTGGCCCAGCAATTGTCCACCGGAAATGCTTCTGAGCTTGCGTGCTTTTACTACTTGCCTGTTCTGTAGGCAGACTTTAGGTCCTAGTCATGGCTTTTCCTTGGGTTGGTAGGTTTGCTTAAGGTCGTAAGCTTTGCTTGTGGGATGCCTGCCTGCTTTGAGTTTGGGCTAACAAAAGCCCTTTTTGTCGCATACATGATGGCAGTGAGCAAAGGCACCATCAGTATCTGCACCTGGTTCACCTGGATTTTCCACCTTTCGGCACACTCTAGACCCCATTTACTTGTAGCTTTTGGTTCTCTTTCTAGTTTGGTCTTAAGGTGGACACCAGTTCAACGCCTGTGGCTTGGTTTGTGGTGGTTTTTCTTCATTTTACTTTGGGGTATGGTATTATATGGTGCCCTTTCTTTTGAAAATTATTGTATGATGATTTTATAATCCTAAGCTTGTCGTTGAGAGGGGACTTTTGCAGATTTGTTGCCTACATGGCAATTTTTTGTTTGTTCTGTGAATTGTTGATATGTCGAAACTGTGGTACCAGTGGACATAAAAAGCTCAGGTAAATTATGATGTTGTGCTAGCTGGTTTGTATGATTTGGCTTCTTGCTTTCGGCACTTGGAACGTGACTTCTCCAACTGGATAGGATAGATGATGGGAACAACCAAAAAGAGCCCTGTTTTCTAAGATGAATTTGATGTTCCACTTGTATCGTCTTCGTCATGATGTTTCATCCTATGAATTTGAATTCGAATTGTTCCTCTTCGTCACCATCTTTCATTGCTATACTTGCTTGGTGTCTCTTCTACCTTCCAAGTGGGAAGACGGGGACATCACAGGCTATTTATTATTGCTCGTGAGGTATTATTTATTTATTATTGCTCGTGTGGTGTTATCGCTCTCGTGAATCTTCGGAATTATCATGTCTCATTTGCATGCCTTTTCATAGTTTATGTGCAATTAATTGCATTTGGATTGCTTTCAACAGGTTATGAAAGCCATGGTTTTGAGGCAAACATCGCTTTCTCGAGAGACATCAGGGGATGACGAGTCATAGATGCAAATTACGCAAAGGGTGTTGCTTCTTTCGTCACAGAAAAAAAAATCCTGCTAAAAGAAATCATTGATTACAATGCTCAACTGCGACTCCTATCCACTGTTTGAATTATACAGACCAACCATATGCCATCACAGAAGTCTGAGATTTCAGCAACCGACCATGATGCCATACCAAATGCCTCATAAAGCTCAACAACAATGCTTCTCTCTTACCACCGGACACACTGCTACATGTCGTGGGCTTGGGCATGCTCAGGCTTGTGCGTGAATTCGTAGTCGAGGTGTACAAAGGCTCGCTCTATCTCTGGCAACTGCTCTAGCTTCTCTTGCAGGGCTTCCCCGATGTCGTGTGCTTCTCTTAGGGGCATCTCTGATGGCAACACGATGTCCACCTCCACAAAGTAGTGGGAGCCAAATGTGTATGCCCGAACCGTATCGATGTGCCTTATGGCCTTGTCATGGTTCCAGCAGAGGTACGTGATCTTCTGTAGGTATTCTGGCGCTGCAGAGAGGCCGACCAAGGAGTTCACGTTCTCAAGCACAGTCACTGACCACGTTCGGATGGTATATATTGCCAGCTGAAACATTAGACATAACATCAGCAATTACCCAACTCACAAATATGGAAGAATATAAAGAACTGACTCGTTAAGTAAATGAATTTACCTTTTTACACCTACCATTTCTCAATATATACAGCAAAGACATGCAAATTAAAACCACATTTTCAAAAACCAGATGAGAAGGACAGCTCCCATAAGTTTACGGGGATTTGTTAGTGTGTATCTGTCCAATGAGCCGTCTATCAACTCATTCCAATTGATGTCCAATCCTTGATCGGAGATCTTCAAAATTGTCGTGAGATCTATTATCCAATAAAGCATCAAGCTTACATGAATATTTCCTGGAACTGTATGTTACCTAATAAGGGGTTCGACCTACAAGAATGTTCATAACATCTCAAGGAAGGTAGAACCAAGTTCAGGACATCCATTAAAGAATTTGGAAGTGTATGACATGATAACAGAATAATTATTGAAAAGCACATAAAAGTAATTAGCATGTAAAAGAGGATGATGCCACTCCTACTTACAATTATGGCTCCAATAGGATCTATCCAATTTGCGATATAGTTGGCAAGTAGTGCAGCCGCAAGGCCAATGACATTTGTAACGACATCAAAAAAGTGATCCTGTGCATAAGCCTTGACTATTTCATTAGTGAACGAACGACAGTAAACAACAAGACCAAGCTTCACCAGTGTTACTGATAGCATAATGTCAACCACCCAAGCTTCTTGCTGCTTGGTCAAGCTGAACTCTTTCTCCTGCATTTTATCACATCAACAGTATGAGGCTGCAATGCTGACTTCAGCAACCAGCACTTCTAAGGCAACTGACTATGATAAATATTAATTACACAGGATAGGTTTCAAGTTTCTATGAGAGCAAACATCTCTCCTGCACTAAGATAAGGCATGGCAAAAGTATAAATTTTTTCTATAATCTGACCGAGGGTTGTCAAAACTAATCTTATTGTCAAAGAAGTTGATGGTCAACATGGTCCTAGAAAGTTAAGAGGTGCTGCCACTTACAACAGATAGTAGAGAGCGCACTGACTCTAAGATTATCTGTAGACCCAGTGTTGCCATAACGGATGCAAAAACAAGAATGCCCTGCAAATTATAAAATCTTTTGAGTGCAACTAAGAACAGATTAAGAAGGCATACCTCTAACAAGAAGGACAAGGCTAAAGTGCCAAAAAAATAAAAGCTTTAGGTTTAAGGAAAAAATGAACTTTTACTAGTACCAATGTTGTAGACTAAATGCACACAAGATACCCGGTCTAGTACTACTTAAAACTGTTTTGTTTGCAAAGCTTTGATCACCATTCCTCAATCTATAGAAGGGAACGGAAAATAAAGCCAATCCCAAGAGGTTGTTTTCAGGAAAAAGAGAAGAGTTTGTTAACTATTACCATGATCAAACAGTAACTCAATATAAAAATTGATAAAGAGGAGAAAAAGGATGAGTTTGCTACCAGCAAAGCAATACAGTGGCTACTTTCTACAACAAAATTCACATCAAACAAAGGCTTCTCAGAGCCCTTCTTCAGCGAGATGATTATTTGCCATGCAATAAACACAAAGCCCTTTGCACATATGAAAAGTGTGCAAGAGCTCCAATAGATATCCCTAATAACTCGATCTTCCTGTACAGCCCACATAAAATGCAGCAGCTTTTGCTAATGCATGGCTAAAGCAACAGCAGCATTTATATCATGTCATTCACCACACAAAGAAACTGTATTACTTACCAAGGTAAAAGCATACTCAGCAGTTAGAGATGAAAAACATGACAACATAGTTCCAATAATGGAATGCACAAGGAACATACTACACAACAACAATTTCAATTTAGCAAGAAATACATCAATCACCGTGCCAACAACAATAGTAAAATGGCCAAACAAATGCAAAAGTGACATTACCCACGTTGCAGTTTGTTGCTCGTAGTATAGGTATCACAAGAAAATTTTTCATAATAATTGGGGGGAAAAGGATGTAAATAAACTGTCGATCAACTGTCGTAAATCCTGCATTTGATTGACTTGAGTAATTGGAAAATAATAGCATGGAAAAAATTCTTACCAACGGCTGCATGCGTCTTTTCCCAATAGGGTATTGGTAGGGATTTCTTGATTGCATTTTGAATGCAGTAAACCATAGTATAAACCCCGATAAAAGATCAAGCAGAGAATCCAGTGTAGATGCGATGATTGCCAACGAGCCACTTCTGATTGAAGCATAAACTTTTGCAGCAAAGAGAACCATGTTGGCAACATTTGATAGTCGGATGGCTATCTTCTCACTCTTTGCAACCCTTTCACGCTCTTCCTGTATTTAACATGATAATGTCAATCAACGATAACACATATGTAACTTATAGTTGCTCTAGGAAGTACTTGTCCTCTTTAAGACAAAGAAAAACTAACGAACTCATACCTTTGACATTCCTGGGAGAAAACCACGTTCTGTCAAGGCATCCATTTCATTGAAGCCTTCGAGCATTTCCACCTGCTGCTGGTAATATTCTGCCACCACATCTCCAGTGCCTACAACCATCATGTCATTCTTTTTAATGAAAAATGGCAAGCTTCATTTATTCAATGTACAGCCTCCAAAACTAATTTCCAAGAACGTATGCCATCTCAATAGATCATATAAAAGACAAATGGAAATTAGCTCTTCAACACGGTTGCTCTTTTTATGGTTATTGACAGAAATTGTGGCATCAGCTTTTCTTCTTGCAATTTTAGTAACATACTTCTGAATCGATAGTCTAGAACAGAAGGCATTCCAAACAAACGAAGTCTTTTAGTAGTCCTCGATGAGATGAATATAAATACATCCAATTTTGGACAGTTGATATAGCATTTTTTCCTCCTTTTTATACCATCAATTAACATTATCTTGCAAGGATGACCACGATCCTCAATCTGTTCTTATCCAGCATTTCAAGGAGTCCTAAATCAACACTCAGAGTGGGTACGTCGCCATCAAGGACTTGTAGGAGGATGAATCCGGATTCAGACTTTAGCTTTCGAATCCTCTGGGCAGAAACAAGAATCGGCTACGACGTCTAGATTCATCAACTTGATGATCAAATCAAAGTTTCAAGTAAATATACCTTGAGCCAAGGAGGAGTTGTTCATCTGATCTTCCAAATAACTCAACAGAAGACGATCCTATCAAAAACTCTACTTTTCCCACACAGAAAGAAAGGCACAAACAAAAAACACAATTTGATGATACGGTAGGCAGCTGTTCTAAACAAAGGCAATGGCGGAAGACAGAAGACAATAAGATAAACGCTATATTAACATATGTATATCTATGTAATAAAAAGAGCACATCAAACCCAAGTGTATTATAAGGGGATAAAAAAAAGGGGAAGAAGGAACCTAAGGCGCCAAGGCAATCGTGGAGGCGGCGAGGCGGAGGCTCTTCGCGCCGCTCCGACAGCCGCAAGCCATCGAAGTTGAGCCGCCACGACCGCTCCCGGTCCCGCTCTCGCTCGCCGGATTCGACCAGGAGGAGCTCTGTTCCCTCCTCGTCCAGACCGCGCCGCATGGTCGCCGTGGCAGCATCCGCCATCCGCCTCCTCCGCAGCCGTCACCCGAAACCCTAGGAGATCGAGCGCACCCCAGAATAGAGCGAAAGCGAGCATTCATTCAACACTCGCACCACGGCAGAGGCGGCTGCGAAGCAATTAAAAGAGATACAGATCGACACATTTACATATTTGGGGTCGCTTCTACACACACGCACTCGCTCGTCATGATAGTAACCCGTGGATGGTCAGGATTTGATCTTTGATGGGGGAAGATAATACATCGGACGGTGGTGAATTTTTTATCACAAACTCTGATCATTCATCAATTATAAAAATAACAAAAAGCCACCACGCTACTGAAAAAACAAATAATAAATATCAAAATATATGACTGATACATGAAAAATAATAATAATAATAATAATAATAATAATAATAATAATAATAAAGCAATACAAAAGAAACTGATTAGACGAGTAAAATGGCAAAATCCCTTTACAAACTTGGCTTTTTCCAAACTCATGAGACTCTAAATCTAATTTTGAATCTCTTGCACATATATATATATATATATATATGGCTGACTGATCAAATCACGTTTATACTGTCACAATCATATATGTCTGTAAAGGATATTATATACTGTTTACAATGGCTTAATTTATTGAAACTTCATCTTTTTTCTCCAAAAAAAAATAAGAACATTATAAGGAGATTTGGGTGTTCTTTACCGAATAAAATATCAAATTTTGCATCAATGTCACGTTTGAAGTGCTTCATCGAGTCTTGTCGATATCCATTATAGAAGGGAATAATCCACTATTTTTTTCTATTGATGTATATATATATATATATATAAACGGTGCCACTTAGCGAATCTGAAGCGCACAAAGCACAAGAAACTTGGCCATGTAGACTATTTATTGCATGTTATAGGACTTAAATGATGCAGACAAAATCCCAAAAGAAGAGTTATAATAAGTATAATGCATCGATTCCAGTGCATATCGTCATCTCTAAATGGAGAAAACTTACACCAGAAGAACAATCAAACACACGTTGAGACACTTATAGGGATGTCAACAGTCGAAGGCCGCAAACATAAATCTATGAGGTATTATACTTACACAAGTATATCTGGACATGTCAATAATTCCAGCGAGTCACATTCTACGGAAGAGAAATCATGGCCCAAGAAAACTCACCCTTGCCTTGAAGCTTGTAAGTTACATCCTTTGTTGGTTCAATTTTCTCTGTATCAGGTTCTTCCTTTGACCAGTTATACTGAGCCTGTTATGAACTCATACAAAGCCCCAGTTGTTGTCTTGGCTAATCTTTGGCTGGCCTGTGAGGAGACAATGCAGAATTTAGGTATCAAACAACTTCATATCAGTTTATAAAACTCAGATCAGTATCTAGTGTAGCCACAGGATCTGTATCCAAATTCATGATAAGTTCGAATTTGTCATCATCAGGCTTCTTATGGTTATGGACACTGAATTGGATAGGCAAAGGAGAGAATAAAATTAATTTACGATTCAGAAAAAAAAAAAAAAAAAGGAAACAAAGGATCTTTCGAAGAGAAAATATCTTTATCTTAGTATCAGTTTTCTTACTGAAGAAATAACCTCCTCGACGATAAGTGTAACACAATCACACCATTTTTGTTCAACCGAGAAAAAAAAAAGAGCCAAAAAAAACACAACTTGCAAAATCTCTAATGCGGTACACGATAATTGTTTGACGAAGAACTTCAATTAGTGAGGTTTACCTTTTGCATCCAGTATGCCTCCGCAAGACCCTTCTCTTATAGGAAGAAAAAACAAATAGACGTGTGTAAATGCAGGTGAACATAAAATCTCAATCAGCATTAGTCATTGTAAAGTCTAAAACACAAATTTAATCCTCTTTAGTTCCTTCATGCTCTTGCTGAAAAGGAACATCAGAACTATGCAATCCATCACCATACCACCCGCAACCAAGATGAGTTAGGAAGAAGTATCTAAAAGAAAAGCCAGCGGCATTTGCCCTACTATCAGGCCAGCAAAACTCATCATTCATGATGACGGAAAATAAAGAGAATCTGGAATCTGATATCAAAATAAATTTGTTTAAATGTTGAGCCTTCTATTATATAGAATCTGCAATAGATAATAACAGAACAAGGCAACTTACCGTGCACTAAACAGCAAAATTTTGTTTCATTCAGTTTCAGGAGAACACAATATATGCTTCCATAAGACCGGCAAATTATCCAATGCATCACATGTATATCATTGGAGGAAGACAGTATAATTGGTACAAACTTAAGGTGAAAAATAATATTAACTATTTAAGAGTAAGACTAAAGAATTACTAAGCAACGAATATTGTGATTGAAATCAAATTATATTTGAAAAAAATATGTTGATAGAAGACTACTATCACACCAAGTAAATAGTCTTACACCTCAGCTTAGTATCATTAGTATAGTATGACAAGCTAAATGATTTAACGATGCTTATTAGAAATTTCGCAGAAGTAGCAAACAATATACCAAAAGCAAATTCTAATTAATACCTTCAAGCACTAAATGTTAGACGAGAATGAAAACAAGTTCTTTGTAGAAATAACATTCCAATCCCAAAACAAAACAAATCAAATTGACTCTCAATTGACATATTAAAGATGAGAATACATACGGTGGCCCCAAAAGAAGAATGAGTGGATCGTTCAATACCTGCTACCGAAAGAAAAAACACAATTATGATAAGATGACTCCTCCAAAAAGAATAGAATGATTACTTGAGCCTCCAGATCACAACATAGTTGTGCTTGAAACCAGTGTATTTCCCCTACCTTGAGCCAATGGTTGGTTGATCCAATAGAGGGATGCTACGAACACTGAGCTAAAGTTAAACCCAACAAACAAAACACGAAGCCATGACCATGTTTTAGAACTTGCATCCAAACTTCCGTCTGATATGTGCCCTAAATTGTGTACACAGAATTTGCTGCCTGTTCATCTGAAACTCTGCAAGAGAAGAAAAACCCTATATTGGTGTCAGTCAGGCTGCTAAATGTTTGGGTGGAATGAGCAATACATTCCTGCCATTCACATAGCAATAGTACAGACATGAAGATAATGAGTAGCATTATTCAAGCCTGATGAAGTCATTGTTACAGAACTGTTCTCTATACAAAAAACTTCCCATCCATCATGAGGTTAGAAGATTCAATTATAATTTCTGTAGCAATACCTGAGATTTTTTACAATTCCCTTACAAACTTGACTTAAGAAAGAAGAGTAAAGCCCTTAGTTCAAAGAGTAACCACATCTTCTCAGATCTCTGGTGAAAAAGGGGTGTCTAAGGGCTTCTCGGGCTTTTAGACGCTGAGCCGGATCATAATGGAGAAGCCCTTGCAGAAGATCAATTAAATCACCAGCAGAGTGATCAACATGTTGCATAACCAGATTCTGCAACAAAATTTTGAAGTTAATAGCAGGGGTGATTTTTATCCCTTAGTTACATAATATCATGGGAAAGGTACCTTTTTTTGTCAAACAGAAACAAAAGGTCAAACCCCAACCTACCTGAAGGCGAGGCAATCTCCAAACTGCTCTGATGCTTTCCCTTGAGGTTGCCCCTTCGGGCCAGTCTAATCGCAATCCTCGACCTTGCCTGAAATATTTCTCCGCACGCTGGCTATTATGGACACTCAAGGAAACAAGTATAATAAGCTGTCAAATTATTTGAACTCGAATCTGGAACATCCAAATTTGAGTAATTACAATATCATTAAAAAAAGAAGAAATGTTGGACTTACTTAGCTCTAACAATCATGTGCTGTGGAAGTGGTCCTAACACCTTTTCCATCATAGCTAAATGCTCCAAATTTTCATGAGTTTGAAAGAGTGCCTCACCCTGATTTTATGGAATTAAACAATATCATGTTTTAGCTAATCCATCTTGAAACATGAACTTAGACAGGTATCATATTTACTGTTATATTCCTACATATTGATCCTTCAAAAGTAGAAATTGGCATTGATAAATTGGCATAAGAGAAAAACATGCAGTTTCAATATCATCAAACTTCATGGAAAAAAAGGAAAATAAGAGGGGGAGCGGACAATACAGAACATGTACAAGCAGTAAATCAAACTAGTTTTCTCACCATTCAGATCAACTCTCAAAATCAAGGAAGCGCAAAAATTTTGGCATGGTTACCTTTCACCTGAATGTTTACTCAAAAAGAATTCAGCCAAATATTACACTTGGAATCATAATAAATTGCATCACCTGGAGTTACCTCCATCACGTATCTTTCCAGTGGTGATGTAATGCCTCTTTGTGCTGTTGTGATGTCCAGCCAACTGCCTAAAGGCTAGGAAGCCTTGACAGATCAAGGCTTGTCCAGGAACTGTTGGGTGAACCCAAACTGACCCAGACCCAACCCATTTAAGATAGCCCCTTTGTTTTGCAGTGTTGGTTCAAGGCAGGAGACCTTGACTCGGTCGGGTAGGGTTCATGCCTTGATGGCTTGGTTCGACCAGTTCAATCTGATCTGAGCCAATTTTTTGCCTATAAACAATGTAGAACATGCCATTACCTGTCAATCAGACCCAACCAACAAACTATATAGATCACATCCTGGTCAAGAAAATTTGAATTACTGATTAGTGGGTTCAGGTTCAGATCATCCTTATGTGTCCTTACCATCTATCACATCTCAACGTAACCTGACCATTCCTGCTCCCCTACCATGTTGTCCTTGCCTTTCACTTCTTACGTGCAACCACAACGATTTACTGCAAATGCAAATAAGAGTACAAGAGATGACCAGTAACTCCTAGGAACATACAGGGAAGGGAGGAGAGAAGCAATAACCCCCCACTAAACTAATCATACACAGACATGTCAGTTGTTATTGAACTCAAAACTATAATACTGGCACTCAAACACTTCCATCCTGTCCAATAATACTTGTTGAATACAGAGTAACATGCAGATGACAAGGCAAGATCTAACATACGCTATTTACACAATAATTTAGATGCCTTGATATTAATTCCAACAATCAGTTCATGCAAGTTTGTTACAACCCAAATTTTCATACTTGCCCAAATGAGAGGATGCGATTCAAGAGATACCCTTAATGTTACAACTCGAGCAGCCAGAGTTGAGATACAAATTCATGTGCATTGACCTCAAAGAAATCCGATCTGGGAATTCTAGCTAATATCATTGTGAAACTGACCAAGTGCGCAACCCATTAGCCCAAGTTTGCAAATAGAATAACTATCCAACAAAATGCCAAGATAAATGAGTCGTTAACAGAAAATTTGAGCATATGAAGCAAATGGTTACAAATCACACTTCAAGATTCCACTGCCAATCATTACAGAAGCATTCAAAAAGACACATGAAATTGACTAAAGAGGAAAGACACAGAACAATCAGATGATCAGTGAGAATGAACTCACCGAGCAAAGCTCAACAAGAATACAACCCACACTCCACATATCACAGGGATAGTTCCACCCAAGTCCTACAAAATAAGATAGTAAAGTCAACATTTAGTAGCTTATTCATTAAAAATAAAAAGACAAAAGCATAGGCAAGTATCTGACAGATGTAATACACTCTTGGGCAGAAAGTTTAACTTTTTACCAAGAATAACCTCAGGTGCACGATAATGCCTTGTTGAAACTACGTAACTGTGGTCCTGGTGTTCAAATGTCGTGCTTCCAAAGTCAATTAACTTGATAGCACTAGATTTTGGCAGATTCTTGAAAAGTGAACCATCCTTGGCTGATCGTGATAGAAACTGTGTTACCAACAATATAGAGGACCAAATCAGACTGGAAAAATATTAAAAAATTTAAATAAAGACAAATAAGTTTGTCATTGAAGGAAAAGAATGAGCAGCAGCATTGTTCCCACAAGATAAATGTTCATGGATAGTGCCTACTGGGATGCAGGAGGAAATGCAAGTATGTCCAATTTATGACCGAGTACAGTACCTTGTGATCAGGAACCTTTATATATTCAGAGGAGACGAGAAGAATATTCTCTGGCTTCAGATCAGTATGAATTAACCGCAAGTCATGCATAACTGCACCACAAGAACAAGGGGAAGAAGCTTCTTTCAGAGCTGCTAAATCTACATGTCAAGTAATCCAGATGTTCTATAGAAGAAACTAAGACCCTCTATCCTCCAGATGACAACATAGCTTGAAAAATGATTGATCAACCATAATTGTCTCCTAACGCTTGATACTGAAATTGCATATACAGAAGGGCCGAAAAAGTACATGCAACAGACTCCAGAAGCTGCCCGGCAAGTTCGCGGACTAAGTCGATGGGGAAAGAGCGGTAGCTGTTTCTCCGAAGAAAGTCATATAAGCTTGGTCCAAGTTTCTCAAAGACCTGTTGAGATCACATAGATGCTTGGAAAATAAATATTTGGGCTACTCAGAAAGTTTAGTCACTGATGCAAATGTACTTACTATACATATATGGTTGCGATAGTCGAACCAATTCCGTATTTGCACACAACTGCATAAGCAGAACCACTTATACATATCCCTGATTTGTATCCTTCTTAAAGTCCTATGTTTCAAGAAATAAACTAATAAATTGAAACATGGTTGACCTACCGAGTGCCACTTCTGTCAGCTTTTGCAAGCCTTTGAAGTACATCAATCTCGATCATTGCAGCCTCACGATATTTCTGGAGAGAACGCACAATTTTGATAGCCACTGGTTCTTTATTTTCCAGGTCCCAGCATTCCAGGACTTGTCCAAATGTTCCTGCAGCATGTGATGCATAAACGACTATCTAGGGACAAAACTCAGTTTAAAACAAAAAAAAGATCCACACTCCTTTTTCATGGTGAAACAGCATTTGTACTCATAAGCTTAAGCTCTTAGGATCAAGTAGACATTCAAGAAATCAAAGAGATCAATATGCATAGAAAATGGAACAAATATCCTTCTTGTGCATTAACTAAGGCATGCAAGATTTAAAACAAAGAACTCACCTTCACCCATTTTGTTCAGTATCCTATCTGCATAGATGAACAGAGAAGAAGTGTTAGTAGCAGAGAATACAAAATGCTTAACTTGATGGAAAGGACACAAAATGATCCAAGAGACAAAATGACCAAGGAGGAGATAAGATCGCTGTTGCCTATTCCAAATATGTAAACACCATGCAACATAACCTTAGAAAGCGACGACAAGAACATTTTGTGAGGTTTAAAAGGGTTAAATCTGAATATTGACCATCATGCAAAATTATGTGAAACAGAAAAAGGGAAAACTTTTAAGCCTGCCAAGGAAACTGAAAGCAAAAAATAGTTCGGGAAAAATAGGTAACTGAAAAGATGTCAGAAAGTGCTTTGAAAGGGAGATACAATCCCCAACACGAACTAAAAAGCTTCCAATGAGCACAAAAGAAGCATCCAACAACACATAAAAAGCGCATTTTAATTTGCACTTGAATACATACATTAAAACACTAGCACGTACGTGAAACATGATGCAGCTGTTTATGCAGTTAATATACAGAAGTTACGGACGATTACATCTTGGTGTTAGATTCTCGCCGATGCCAAAAATATAATGACCATCTTTGTCGTCACCCCTCCAAGGAGGAGAACAATATCGAGGTACTCCACCGTAGTAGAATGATTGCAAGTGCTGGTTCATAGTAGCCATTTGTGCAGCTTCCATCCCACAGTATAGCGTCAGAGGAACCTACAATACGCAATTTGTTCAAACTTTCAAGGATTCTTTTCCAAGTTCGGTTATTCTGAGAACTGCACATGTAAAATCCTCAATTTTATCCTTCTTTCAAGGATAATAAATGTTTGCATTTAACCAAGTAGGTACGAACCCTAAAAATAATGAAAAAGGACAAAAAAATGCATCTTTAAGTGCAAAAGAATTTCACAGGTTTTGAAGTCGTAAGCAAAAACCAATAGTTGGCCTACCATCTATCGCCCCGCTACGAAGTTCTCTTAGTAAAAATTCATAAAAATATTTCAAAAAAAATGATATCAATTAAATATGGCCTCGTAGATCCAGAATCATACAAAAAAATCAGTGACATTGGCATGGATCAGAGTCAAAACCAACGATTTCACCGGTGTCCAACATAAATTCGCATAAAATACGTTTCCTTTTTTGCGGGATCCATCATCAAATCCCTGAGTTTATGATCGAGATCCGCAATACCAACGGAAAGATTCAGCGAAAAGTTAAAAAACATAAATCGGTGCCCAGGAGACAAATCAAACAACGAAATCAGGTAGGAAGGAAGGGGCGAGGACCATGGAAGGGGGAATCGGAGGGGGCACATCCCACGCGAGCCTGGGCCTCTTCCGCGGGCGCTTGTCCGTGGCCGCGTGCGGTAGCTCGGCGATCCATTGGGTCTCCATCTTCGATCGAGTCACCAAGCCAACATTGAATCCACGAATGATAGCGGAGGCAAGAGGCAGAGGTACTCTTCGTTGTCTTCTCTGCTCCACCAAACCCTAATCGGCTACCCTTCTGTTCCCAGGCTAACTATAGTTAGCAGCTCTGGTGCCCTCTTAACCATGGTTAATCGGACCTCGTTTCCCCTTAAGCAAAGCTATCGAACCGTTTCCCCTCATTTTTGACCGCCTAATAGCGCTTTGACTGGGTTGGTCGAGGCATCATTCCCATTTGGACATTTGCGTGTATCTAATTTGGACATTTGCGTGTACAAATGGTGAGGAAACTAATGTGATGAGAGAAACCTCGATATGCGTCGCATATGCTTAAATCGAGCGTATGTGACTTGCAAGAAAACAAAGCCAGCAAATAATGTTCATTTTAGCTCCAACTTTTTGCAAGTTGAAGCATTGCAACATAAATTTGATCTGACCTCCATTTCCTATCATTATATGATCTTATTCTCGTAAATAGGACAATAAACATTAGGTATGTGAATACGATATCAACTCCTATGCTCATATAATAGTCTTATACATCAAAGCTTAATAGCCACATTTTCGATGCTTTGAAATATGCATAAATAAAGGAGTTTAGTATTGGTATTTTTCTTTTATTCACAACTCCTTACTTCATACGATCATCTTAAAAATAATAAAATATATTTTTTTAAAAATATAATCCCTTAATTATCTTCTAGTTGATAAAAGGCTTGACACCCAAAAAGATGAGGTTATTACAAAAATACCTAGAATATCATCTTTTAGGTGTGTAACCCGACATCTTAAACCCTAAAAATATTAAATCAACCTAACAAATATAAAAAATTATTTCTTATCTCCTATTTGATTGTTTCATTTAATTATCTATTTTTTCATCATTTTATGCCACCACCGACATGCCTTAGTGGACCGACAATATGCCTTAGTAGTTAAGAGAAGTAGAATAAGGAAAAGAAAAAGAAATTATATGAATGAAGTCTAAAAAGATAATTAGAATTAAGTGATAAGTAAACTCAAACCACATGAGTATTGATAAGGTCATTTAATCCAACATTGGTTGAGAAGTACGAGAACTAAGGGCTTATAAATCTATCGGGTCTCCCTTACCCTCATTGGTGTCTCTTACCTTCACTGGTGTTTTTTAGAACTCATGAGTTCTGAAATGGTAAAACCGTACAGATACACCCATAGTGCATAATTCCTTGCGAGCCTAGCACCAATGGTCGACCGACCATATGGACCCTTAGTGGGTTCAAAGTATTCGAACCACCCATTGCTATTTCATAGGTATTCGAACTCATCGATGATGGCGGAGTAAGTTACAAGATGATATATGGTACCTTAAATACCATTTGATTGGTGTTTGATATAGTAAGTTGAGTTTCAAGATGCACGCATGAGATTGAACGGCGAGGCATGCATGCAAGTCACTCTTTCTTGGGTTATAGATTTCTGTTTCATGGTGAATTCTCAGCAATATCGATCGATGCTAAAGATTTTGATCCGAAGCGATAGAATAACACTTCAACCCATACTTTTGTTGAGTGCAGCGCCGAAAAAATGCTTCTTAGAACAACAAAACAAGGAAACAACGTTCATAAACTTGGGGGACGTCCATGAAATTTCAATGAGAAAAAGAATTTTACAACGATAAACTTGTAACACGATGAAATGCCTCGGCCGAGTAGAGATCACAGGGAGACCGATCAGCTCTTAGACACTTGTTATTCATTGATCGTATCATATCAAGCAAGAGAACTCTTCACGGACTCTTGGTGTCGCCTGATTCATCGGCAGTTTCTGCAGAACAAGGAAACACGACAACCAATCTTGAGCCAAGTAATTCATTCGGAGATGATGGGGTGAGAGAGCGCCAGAAGGGGTACGTAAACAACGCCAACTATGACTTACTCGCGTCGCCGCCCGCCCCGAGGAAGCATCTGAGATTGCAAAACGCTCTCCAGTTGCCCGCTGCGACGCACTGGTGAAGACATGCGTTGGAGCTGGAGGAGACGGTTTCACTCGGCGGCGAGAGACCATCCGACGTCGCTGCCGGCGACATAGTATCGGACGTTGCCGGTGCTGTCAGTAGAAGCAAGCACAGGCAAGCGATCGCCAAGTAGCTGGTCTTCGCGATTGCCATGGTAATCGTCTACCTCGACTTTGGATGTCCGGCTATATAAGATTTAGTGTGCGTGCACGCACTGAGCTCGTGTTGCTGTTGGAATGAGGAAGAAGATAGCGGAGGAGGTATTTGTACACCTGCAGTGGCTATTTGTGGACTTGTCGTCCTGAACGGCTGGTATCGCCTTCTATTTCTGCGGAAGGCAGAAATGGAGGAGGAGAAGACACGGAAGAGAGTTTGTTCGGAGCGTTCTCTTCACCGAAATGCTCTAAAGATAATTTGACCAGGTACCTTATGCAATATGTATGTGAATACCCTCACTCACGTATAAAGATGCTTACACCGAGGATGGAATGCTCGACTGCAACTCATACATAGACGCTTCCACCTTGAGGTGCAGAGCGTCAACCTTCGGATCAGATACGAGTCAACCCAAGAAATTAGCTGAAGCTTCCCAGCCGAGCTTAAGTTTCCACAAGATGTCTCCGGTTGCTTGGAAAGAATTGGCATGGCATTAGACCTGAATGCAAGAAAAAATTGCTGAGCTCGCACATCGTCTACTACTACCTCCACAGGATGACAGGTATGCTGCTTCCTTGTTTGGTTAGTGCATTCCGGTGTTTGACCGAGACGAGACTAAAGAATTGTCTGCTTCATGTGCATATTGGATTAGGACGTGATACTTCTGAGCCTTGTTACTGGTACTTCTCAGCATCATGAGCAGCATTAAACTTGTAGCGGTAAATTTGAAGCTTAGAAGAGAAGAATATGTTAACCAATTAACAGGGCAGAATATGGGCTAAAAAAACCAGTGTTTGTGCAGTCTAAGCTCCAACGACAGAGAAGAGAAACGACTTGGTTTTCGTAGTTGATGAGAAGCTAGAGAAGATTTGACAGAGCAGATAACATTTTCCTTGCAATCAAATTCTGTCTACACGTATGGGGTTTCTAAGATATAATCACACGGTCTTCTAAACGAACAACTGAAGCAGCTGAGAGTGGGAGCTACTCCTGCGGACCACCTCAGACAGGTTGAACTCCAGAGGAGCCATGTCCGTGTTGGGCTTCTTCTTCTGATCGCTCTGCTTCGGCTCCTTATCACCCATGGCCTTGTGTCCCCGCATATGACCGCCCAAGGCTCGCCCCATAGCGAAACCCGCGCCGCAGAGAAAGCACCGGTGCACGCGGCAAGGGCGCTTGTGGCTAGTCCGGTGGCCGCCCAGCGCTTGGAACGTCGGGAACTGGCGACCGCAGGTCTTGCACTGGAAGACGCCGTCGGCCGCCTTCGTCCTCCGGCGTTTCTTCCCAGGCTCAACGCCCAGTGAGAGTGACAGCAACGGCTCAGCATTTTCCGAATCCATTCCCCGCTTCATCGAGCAGCCCGATGCGTCGACACCTTTCACTTAACGCCTTGCACCGAGAGATGTTTCTACACTTACCAAGAACGTAGAAGATTAGTCGAGTGGCTCTGCTATTAATACATTGCAGAACTTATCCACACGGCCGCGTAAAACGCCGGAAACTTTCAGAAAAATCCAGAGGGAACAACTTCGAGTGTGTTCTAGGTTCAGACTGCTGCAGCTTCTCGGAAGGTTCTCCCATGACTTGGTGCTTATTCGTTATTGCTTCGCACCGTAGGAAGAAACATTGTGGAAGGACGCGAGTCCAAAATCATCTGTCGCTTTTCTTCTTAGACCACGCGGAGCTGGTTTGACTTGAATCTCCTTCCGAGTAAACGCTACATGCGGCGATGGTACGTAGCAGACGGACACTGCGAGTGCTAACAGTGGATGGCCTCAACAAATAATCTGATCTTCTTCATCCATCACCAAAACGATGATATGAAACTCGATTCGTCGATGACCACGACGTTGATCGCAAAAACTATAGAGTCAACAATATAACATAAAAGATTGATGGATGCAGGAAAAATAACCTTGCTTCCTGGAGATGTAGTAGCTGACTCGGCCTTCTTATCTCGGCTTCACGTAACTTGTTGCATCATCGTTCTTCGTCATCTCTGTGTCAGCAGATCGGAAAGATTCGTTAGCTCACACGAATAAAGGACTCCGATGCCACGACCGGGGTGGGCTGAAAAGGTGACACGGGCATCTTCCGCTGGAGTTGTGCAGATCACCAGCGAAAACAAGTCAGAAACCACTAACAGCAGATAATTAAACTACCAAGAACTTTTCGGAGAAGCACCCACTTTAAAATGCACATACGAAAAAGATTAGAACACCAGAGATACTGATGTGGAAGTTGCACATACCGGACCACATCGACATGGGGAGATTGCTGTCTCCAGAAGCCACGGACGGTGCAGCCAATGTAATTAATCAAGGGCGTAAGTTGACCGAGTCAGCGAGCAATTAATCCAGGGCCATACGAACTCGTATCGTGGGATTACATAGACATGGCGACGAAGGTACGTTGACCTGCTCGGGTCCACGGTAACAGGGAAACGAATGCGTCCATTTTGGGCGGTGGATAAGGTTTGCTCTCGACGTTGAAGCCGATGACGGGGTCCTACAACATCCTTACAGCCACAGGCTTGTTAAGTTTAATGTTGTTGCGTTTTTTTGATGAAATGTGAACAATAATTCCTCATCTGCACCGATGTTTTAATTGATATGCTAATTAGATTATTAATCAATCATCTCCCTCGTACTTCATGCGGTCAAACGAGCCGATTAGAGCGCCTGGAAGTCGGAATCAAGGGATGGAGCCCAGCGAGGGCGGCTATTCCGGTGGATCGCTGTGCTGCTGCCCAACACGGAACACGGAGAACGGCGAGTCGTCAGCTGACACCAGATCGAAATGCTGGGCTTCGTGACATCCTCGCGGTGCCACGCGTACAACGTGTCGACCGGTGGATCACGATCCCCAGCCGTGGTGGCCAACGGTGTGGTAAGCGTGACCCTTGTGTTTATGTTACGCATGCGACATGGGTGCTATAATCGCCATTGCCCCCCAACGTTGTAAGGATCTGAATCCATTCTTATTACCACTGATAGTAGTTATGACATGGAGAGATCATCAACATCGACGATGTGAATACGAATACTATGAAATCATGATGATGGTGATGCCACAACGAAGTCCGCATAGTACATACATCACTTGTATGTGATGGGGGCATTTCTGGCATCGCAAGTGCTATAGACTAAAAGCCCGCAGTCCAAATCTGAGCCACCCTGGTCAACCAACCAACCAACCCTATGCCCGTCGCAGACGATCCCCATTTCCCAAATCTAGGCAGCCGATGGATGGATCCAATTGCATGCCCGAGGGAGGAGGGTGCAATCTCATCAATACTTGTCTTTCCATGTTTTCTAAGAAAGGAAGTCTTTGACACTGTTACCAATTCATGATGACCTACCTAGATATAAAAGATGAACCCCATCATGTACATTGTACCAGCGATTCAAACCCTGGTTACGAAACAGTGATCATGATCCAGCCGAGGAATGGAGGAGGTGGTCTGGCCCAAGATCTCCGAGTCCAAGCCAAGACCTTGACAACATGGTACAACCAGTGCAAAGGAGTCCCTCCTCCCCTATTTGCCGGCTGCACTGCCCATATGGAGTAACTCTCTCTCTCTCTCTCTCTCTCTCTCTCATACACACACGATGAAGGGTCCTCATTAGATACTGATTTGCTTTGCTTGCTGTCTCAATCCTTTTCGTACCCACTCATCCATGGAACCATGGTGGTGTTGTGCATGCTATAGAAGCAGCAGCACCACCACCACCACCAGTCCCCAACCATAACATTCGCTCTCCCACCAACCTTTTCCTCTTCCTCCCTCCTCCTTTCCTGCTCCATAACTGGCCTTGCATGCCTCCTCCAGCCACACTTGGTCGCTGTCCACATCCTGTCCCCACTGATCTCCTTTATATTCTTCCCCTGCTCTTCGCTCGTCTTAAAGGAAGCAGCTTGCGGACCTGTTCGTCTCCGTCTCTCCCTTCTTCTAATTCGATTTCTTTGGTGTCGTTCGATCCTTTCTGGACCCTGTCGGTGGGGTTTGCGGAGCTTCCGTGTCGAGTTCTTGGTGGAAGAGCCGTGATCATGGGCCCGGTGAGAGGGCTCAAGAAGAGGAAGAGGGCAGAGAAGAACGCCGCGGCCAGGGTCACGGCTGCGGCGCCGGGAAGTGGTGACTGGTGGGACGACTTCTCGAGAAGGATTACAGGTTCCTCTCTTTCGTCGATCTTGTTCTTCTTTGCTCTCGTTCGTTATCTTTTCTTCCATCTCGTGGGATCAGCGACCTCGAGTGGGCAAGTGTGTGTTGTAATAGTTCGATTACAGTCGATGGGTATCATGTACTTTGGCTTGTTGGATTGGGTTTCTCGAGTTCTTTCGGTAATGCATATGGGTATCGATTAGAAACTTAATTCTCAGTTAATTGTTTCTTATCCATCAATATCATCGTGCCTAAACTTGGTATTTGTTAACATCTAGCATGAGAACTTTTAATTGGGGTAGCCGCATGTCAATGACTAAAAGTTATGTTCTTGAAGTGGCTTGCATATATCCTTAGAAACAGTTTCGACTCTCAATGTTATGAATCAAGCATTTTATGCTGTAATCAGCTGTAAAACATCGCTGGTAGATTCATCTCTTTATTTTGCCATCCCAAATGGAGTTTGGTTAAATCAAAGAGCACGGTCTATGTTCTGCCCAAATTTTGGGTGGATCATGTAACGAAAATCGTTGCTACTATAGATTTTCTTAACGTAGGAAATGATAATGCTCGAAAGGTCACGAACATATTGGCATCTCAAATCTTACAAGTGGATGCTTAATTGGTCCAATGAGAAGGAATAACTTCTTTTGCTTGTGTTTCTAGCAACACCTAAATCAGATGTCAGTCTTTAGAACATTATGATTATGTCACTGTATGGAAGCTATGATCTCTAAGAAGCATGTACATTTTTGGTTGGAGTTACTTTGCTTATCATTAATGGACTATTTTGACATGATGAAATCCTAAACATATATAGTACAAGCCGAAAGTAAATGAAGGGAAGTCTAGGAAGAAGTTGAGGGCCTTAAAAGTTTTATTTTCTTAAATTTGTCTACACCGAGTTATTGCCACAAGTTGCCATCGAATGGGTTACTAGGATCTTTGATTAATAGCCACACTGTTATGTTATCAGCAATAGTAGAATTGGATCTTGGAGATCCATCAATGTGTCTATTTCACATGCTTTTTGCATGATTTTCTGTAGCACTCTTAAGCCTCCTGAACCATACATAATCAGGATAACTGATTTATGTCGCTAAATTTTCAGCTCTTGCTTAGGTTTTCAAATGTGCTAAATTAAATTAAAAGTACCTGTAACATAATAAGCTTCCTCTGAAATTAACTGTTCTACTATTTACCATCCGGAATGTGCCAATAAGTGCTTAAAGGCATATTCCTTATATTTCTAAGAATTGCATTCCATGAAATAGGATAAAATGTATGCATTTTGATTCATGTGTTCCTTATCTATGCTCCCTTTCACTTTCCAAAGGAATGATCTTCTCAGAGAATTAACTAAATTATCAAACATACCGAGATTATCGAAGACCGGAAGTGCCTACTTAGCAGTACCCTCAGCCCTCAGATGCTATCCGAAGATTTTTCTTGATCATACTTCCAGTGCTTTTCCTACTAACAGAATTTTGAAAATTTTGCTAATGTTCTTATTGCCAAGTCGTGAATTTTCTCTGGTTGTTTGGGACTTGTCATCAATAGGATGTGAAATTTTTTTAAACCATTGTCAAAATAATAACATGTGGCTTTTCGGGGGAAGAAAGCCTCATGCATGAGGCTGTTGACACTATATAAGAAAGGTTCACTATGCTCATTCATTCACCTTTCAAAATCTCAACCTTCATTTAAGCCCAGTTCCATCCACTCCAAAAGATTATGCACTTAACATGGCCCTCAATACCCTATTAGCTGGTTATAGCCTGTTAATCAACGTTGCGATTTTTCCAAAATCATCTGTCAGTTAATTTGCTTAAAATTCCATATTGGTACTTGTTAAAGTACCATATATCAGAAATATCAAGGATTAATTATGTTTGCTCAATCAACAAGTCATTGGAAAGAATTTGGACAGACAAATGGGATTCATATTTCATGATTTTTGTGGAGACACTTTAAAGGGTGTAGATCAACTTCAACAATGAGATTTCAGGCTTCTCATTGATCTTTTCATTTTGCTTGACTGGATAGTACCATCTCAAATTGAAATATCTTTGATCTTTTCATTTTGCTTGACTGAAACTTCTCTTGGTTGGCTTTTTGAAATTCAGTTAGATGAAATTATGCCATAGAAGAGAGATATTCTATGATGTCTCTGCACATGCTTCAGGTATCGACGTTCAGATGTTCAAGGAGGATGTTATAAAGACACCAGATGGTGTCCAAAAAAGGTTCCATAGGTGAATTATACTGTTATATTACAAATACATGTCAAGTGAATGTGTTCACAGGCTTACACATAAAACATATCCTGAAGTCATCAGAACTCAAATTTGGTTATATACCAACCTGATGAAAAACATACTAAATTGAGAACCCATTTCACTTGGATTCATCAAGGCTATGAGCTATAAAGTTTACCGGAACAAACTAGAATTGTCTCATCTAAGCGATAAACAATAGAGAAATAAGAGAAGTGGTCTTTTAGTTTGCAATTAGAGGAGCAAATATATAGTGTTCCAATGATAAATCAGGATGAACACAGTTTATGTTGGCCAAAAGTTGATTGTTGCAGTGGCACTTTTGGTTTCCTGGCACATGTTGGATTACCATGCTCTCTGTGATAGCCAAAAGCCATTTTGGAATTCCCTTGTCCCAATACTCTATGATGCTAATTTGTTTGACACTGTACATGTCAACCGACAAGGTTCTTATGACCATGTGCAGCCCTCACTGGCGTGTGTAATCCTTGGTGATAGACTGACTGTGATGTTGCTTATCTTGTGGATTGTCGTTATTCATTTGTGTTCTTGAGTTTCACATGAGGTTTCGTTGTTGCATAAGACATATGAGACCTTCTTACTTGTGTGATCCCTCATAAAAAGGTTGCATATGCATTTCCCTCCTTCCTGATTCTTTCTTTCTTTTATCTGCACATGACAAAATTGCGTTAAATGCTTAGCTATTACTTACTACCTATTCATATAATCCCATAGATTTTCGTATGACCATAGCTTCTCATTGTAAATTGAAGTTGTCATGATTTGCAACTAATGTTAACTGTATTTTTTTTCTTAATGCCAATAATTTCTTTAAGTATAAAGTTGACATAAATGCATATGCATATGCGAAAATATGTTGCGGTAGCCTGCTTGCAGACATTACCTTGTGCAGCATGTTCTGTTTTCTTTTATGTTTTCTCCCAAAATGTCTTCATGGGTGATCCTTTTGTTTTATCTCTACATTTCATGAGCAAAAAGGTGGGCTTTCAGCTATACTTACAAAGAACTATGAAAAAATGAATGATCCTTTCTTTCAATAACTTATGAACATGGCATATTACTTACAAGAAAAATAAAAAGAGAAGTTTGACAACAAAAACAGTGTTCAAAACTTCAAATACTTCCAACACAATCACCAAAGTATTCTTTGAATAAACACTTTAGGAAGATATGTAAATGCCACACATTTGGACACTCACAGAAATCAGAGTTCCTGGAGTGTTTGTGTTTTTTTATGAACAAGCACATTAAAAGGTGACACTTGTCAGAATTCCTGAAAAATGAAGTTTACATGTAGCAAATAGTCACCGCAGAAGTCCTACATCTTTGACTGTAAAGCATAAAGTTTATTATTGAGTTTCATCTATCAGGCAGTTTGTTCAATACTTCAAGGTTCTCTGTTGTAGTACATAGCTTGGTCTCTGCCATTGCACATTTTGGTTTTCATAGTTTTTCTTTCTAATAATTTACTGGCCCAGTGACCGACAATTATCAGACAGTAAAGTCACATTGATTTCAAAAATCATTCTCATTTCAAGTTCATGGTATCAACTTTTCATATGAAGTTCTGAATATTATGATGATACTAAAACAAAACTCTTGACTTCCCTTGGGTGTCAGTGTTTGCACCCTGAGATATTCTAACTGAAAAGAAAGCCAAATGCATGAGGCTCCGCAAATACGGAATCTGAGGAGAGTTGACGTATGTAAATTTAACTATGCAAGTACAAAGATTACTTTTATGGTTCAAACTTTGAACTCTCAAGTCACAGAGGGGCAATCTAACGATGGCACTATTGCTCACACTTGAGTTCTTTAACCAAAGAGCATCAAATAAATACTATGTTAGCTATGCATCTTTACCTTTTAATTAAGTAAACTAATGTTTTCTCTGATTACACTCAGTTGACCAATCTTCCCTGCAAATGAATGTCCAAACTATTTATATGAACTTGCAGCTATAGGCTTCATAATTGAGGGACTTTCTGTTGCATAACTGTTGCAGAATTTCTAAATTATCTATTGAGATAATTTTTTAATGACATTTCAGATATTTCAGATTGAATATTTGGGATCAAATCAAAGACCTTTTTCTAATTAGACTAGAAAACTTCTCGTTATTGTTAGCTGATGTTAGCAAGTACAAGTTTGCCTTATAAGCTGTATACTCTCAGTAAAATGCTTTCTTTTAATATTGGCTTTACGTGTTATGTCTAGAACCATTATTTCTACTTCTTCCAGTTAGCTTACTTGTCATAGTGTTTTGAGTGAAATTGACAATCATTTGAATTATGGCATAGCATTTTTTGCATTGTTTTAACTTACTATTACTTTGCATATGCAAGATTGCGGTAGCTTCTTGCAGCCATTTCCGTTGGTTTAGGATTTTCTTAGTGGTTATAGTAGTCTCCATTTGGACGTCAACAATTGATCTGGCTCATCAGGAGGAAAATTCCAGACAGGAAAAATGGATTATCCTCTTGATTCATTTCATTGGAAATTTCATAACTGGTCTTATTGGGAATATATAGTGTGTTAACATTCAAGACAGGGCAACCTAGAATAGAAAATAAATTATTTCACATAAACTTTTTTGTCGGTCTAAATTATTGATTTGATAATCACAAGAAAATAGTTAAGATAAAATTTACTATAAATCATTCCTTGTATATCTCAATTATCAGGAACAAAAATAACGCTTTTGTTCATTACATCATTGTACTGAGACCTTTCATTTTGGATAATAATCAGTCCAATTATGATCCATCCGGAGTGTATTTGGCCTATATGAGCTATTTGAGCCTTATGTCATACAAATTCAATCTAGTTAAACTCATAGCATCAATCTTCAAGACTTTACGGGTGTCATCTACATCCCCCCATGGAGCTTGTTAGGCTTGTTATGTTTGGTTTTTTCTTGTTTGTTCACATTAGTTGCCTTGTGTTGGATGTAAAACATTGATGAATCAACTACTACAGGAGTTAATTCCTCAGCCTATCATTGTTTTTCTATCATCAAAACCATGATAAGAGATGGCGGGTTTAACATGAAAATTCGCCTTTATGCAATAGTTGATGTGGTTGTGAGTCTTGTGACAAACAAAGTATAGTTTCAAATACCAGTAGGCATGCAACATATCAACCATCTTTTACTGGTCCGAGCATAGACTGGTACAAGATCATTCTATTATGGTCTCTAACTATATTTATGTAACAAGTGACCAATAACTAGTTTACGAAATTCTGTATTGAGTTTTATGGAGCAAACTGCCTCCGGTCTCTGGTTGTAGGTATTTGGTGTGGATTAGGTAAGGTGATAGTGCCGTCTTTGTCATGTTAATCGCAAAATTCATGCATAAGCAATCTGCTTAACTCTTGACCGTGTTTTTTGTGGTCAACATGTATCATCTCTGGTTTGTGATAGTCCTCCTTCACAATGTATGGACATGTATGTGGTGATGAAATTTCAATTAGTCGGTCTACCATGCTCTTATGATGATTCAAGCATATGGTGACCTTCTTCCCTCGATGCTTCCAGGACACTTATCCAAAGAACCGAGAAAGTTTGAATCGATCTTCAAGATATCAAGGAAGACTTTCAACTACATATGCTCATTGGTCAGGGATGACTTGATGGCGAGAACATCAAATTTTGCTTTCACAGATGGCAAAATCCTCTCCCTAGAAGATCAAGTAGCTATTGCTTTGAGAAGATTAGGCTCTGGCGAATCGCTATTGAATATTGGAGTGTCATTTGGGATGAACCACTCAACTGTTTCTCAGGTAACTTGGCGGTTTGTGGAAGCTATGGAAGAGAGAGGTATCTACCATCTGAAATGGCCAACGTCTCCGGAGATGGAAGATATTAAGTCCAAGTTTGAAGAGATTCAAGGTTTGCCAAACTGTTGCGGTGCCATTGACACCACTCATATCATGATGTGCCTGCCTTCGGTGGATGCTTCTAACAAGGTGTGGGTTGATTATGAGAAGAAACACAGCATGGTATTGCAAGCTGTTGTTGACCCCGATTTGAGATTCCGAGACATAATCACAGGTTGGCCTGGGAGCATGAACGAAGTACCAGTGTTACAAAGCTCAGGCTTCTTCAAAATGTGCGAGAAAGGTACGAGGCTGAACGGAGAGAAAGTGGAGCTTCCTGAAAAATTAGAAGTGAGAGAGTACGTAATTGGTGATTCAGGCTTCCCACTTCTTCCATGGCTTCTCACTCCTTACCAAGGGAAGGACCTCGCAGATGGCAAAATCGAGTTCAACAAAAGACTTTCTGCAACAAGGATGGTGGCCCAGAGGGCACTGGCAAGGCTGAAAGGAATGTGGAAGATCATTCAGGGTGAAATGTGGAGGCCTGACAAGCATAGACTGCCAAGAATAATTTACGTTTGCTGCTTGCTGCACAACATAGCAATCGACTTGGAAGATGAAGTCAGAGATGTGATGCCCTCGTCGTCCGACGAACATGACACGAGTTACAAGCAACAATTCTGTGACATAACAGATGACAATGGAAGCATACTACGAGATAAGTTGTCTCGCTACCTGTCTGGTAGATTGCCACCCTGAAATGGTTTGGGAACTGCTTTCTTCCTGTATTCCTGGATGCCGAAAGATGGGTATCGAGAGACATCGAATTAGGTTCAATTTTTCTATCGTCAGATTTGATGGCCAAGAGGTGGTTTATTTCTGCAATTGCATGCATTGAATGCCTCTTCCAACACAAAACTCCTGGGGTGAGCTAGAGTTACATTCTCAATGTGTCGAAACAACATCATGCAAAACTGCACTAGATTTTGTAAAAGTAGATGCCGAGAATAAGATCAATTGGCAATTGACAATTGACAATTGGCAGGAGCAGCAGTTGTCTATTTATAAAAGGAACAAATAGCTCGTTAATTGTTCTCTTTTTTTTTTATATATATGGATCATTTATATTTGCTAATGAAATCGTTGCCCTGTGGTTCCTTTGCATGAAATCTATGATCCATATGCTTGTAGATTGCCCATGGTAGAACTGGTGACAGTTAAACGTAGCTAAATGGTGCTTGCTCTGGGGTGGAACTTGTGAACGGAGGTTGATCACACCTGTCTTATACCCCCCCTTGTGGTCTTCGTGTGAGAAAAAGTTTCAGAAACAAGAAATGGTGTTTGCGGTGCGCTGTTGGAATTGGAATTCTGAGGGTAGACCGACAAACATCCGACACGGGCTGAGAGAGTAGCCGCAGTCAACTTGGCTTCCGAGAAACGAAGAGACGACCAAACCCACGTCTCTCCTCTGTGTGTTCTTGCAGCAGTTTATTCCCTCTTGTTTGCTCGATGACTCGAACGCAAAAGCTGAAATCCATTAATCAAAAGAAATTGATGGTAGATGGATTCGTGTGCAAGCAAAGGCTTAGCTTTGGTGCTCGGAGTTCCCCAGCAAGATGGATGATTCGCTGCAGAACGTCCTTACGTAGATCTCAAGGCATTATTACTTATCATGTCACACGCCTTCTCATTCGGCTATTATAATTTCGCTTAGACTTTCGCGAGTCTAAGAGCCCATCGTTTTCTTGCTGACCTCCTCATCAACATAACTCGAAGTTTCACCCTCTTTAAGTAAACGGAAGCCCAAATTGGCCTTTGCTTTCCACGAGAAGCAGTCTGACGCATTTTAAGATTGCTGCGCTACGGAAGCCATGACGAGAACACGCAGCCTGACTTTAAACAATGGATTCCCTGTTAGAAATTTTAATGAAGCCAACTTGTGTTTCTAAATCG